GGGGGGGGGGGGGGGGGGAAGGTCCCTTCCAGAGGCACAATTGTCAGTGCTGCAAAAACCCTGGTCTGTTCATAAATAAAACTAAAGTAACTTCAAGTAGCAGTACTGCAAATCTATTCCTAGTTTTTGTATAATTCCAGGATAGGAGATTCCCTTCTCCCCTTAGAATTCGGTCCTGGACCCGCTTATGTTATACACCGAAGATCACTGAAAGGCGAAAGAAGAAGAGGCCCAGGATCATTAATACAGTCCCATCCAGTCGTATAGCAAAAATTAAAGATTATGAAATGCACTAAAAATAGAAAATCTAAGCCCTGTACTTTACTTTCCCATAGTTCCGCTGTGCAGCGAAGAAGAGAGACCATAGGACAAGATGCTATTAAAGTTTCAAAGATTTGGTGAAATCTGTACAAAATGGACTTGACTTTCGGATATTCGGCCATACCCGTAGGTTTTTATTGCAGAAACCATTGGATCACGGGAAATCGATAGAACATCATGCGACTGGATTTACGCGAAGTACAGTGGAGGGTAGATAAAACCGGTTTTTTCTGAGTGCTAGAAAAGACTTGGGTGTTGTTAGGGTGGCTGGGAAAGTAGTCTTCTTAAGGTTATTTGTCAGCTCCAGTTGCTCCACTCAGGCCATGTTCTAATAAGAAAAGGTGTTGTTAGGACTTTGTAGGGGTGAGACTTTCTTCAGAGCGATGTTAGATGACCTTGAGCAAAACATGCCCAGCTGGTATCCATAGCCAAGAAAAGAGGATAAAGGGCGATTCTTCCTACTGTGGTTAGTGAGGTGACAAGAATGTTGAAGAGTTCTCTGCTAAGCTCAAATCTGCCTTGATCGTTCAGTCTGCATATGCGGTGTTTTGGACAGTTTCAATGCAAATTTGGATAAGAAAAGGATGAAGGAGGCGTTTTGCTGTGTACAACGGTGTTACTAGGAACGACAGAGGTGATAGGCTACATTCGAAGACGGGAAGAGTGTTTGTTGGTAAAATACGATTCGGAATTGACGCAGAACGGGATGGGAACAGACTGAATGTGCAGAATATACATTGTTTACCTTGCTGACTGCGTTTTACTAACGTTAATTTTGTTATTATTTTATAAATTGATCTTTATTTGATCATTTTTTTGCCTAACAGGCGCTTTGCTTGGTACAAAATCAGCGCAAAAATGACAGAGTTGATAGGTTAGCTACGTTTGGGGACGAACAGATTGTTTTTTGGTAATATCTAGTTTGGAATAGACACAGAACGGGAATGGATTAAAATCCAGTGCGCAGAATACATGTTGCTCACTTTGCGGATAGGATTTTACTAACATTAATTTTGTTATTATTTTATACATTAGTTTCGTTATTATTTGGATGAGCATTCACCGGAAAAACGCGGCCCAACAGTGCAACACCTTCATCCCAACTGACGCCCATCCCCTCTACATGCAGGAAGAGGCTAAAACACAGCCAGTCCTTATTTACTCATTTTTTTGTCTTTGTTCTCTAAAAAAGGGACCATCAGCGTTAAAATGAACGCCATCCGCTTTCGCTTCATCTTAGCATTTCGGCTGTGACGAAGGCTGAGTGAGAATTGTATAATGCGTATGACGATTTTATCTCCAAATTTCAAACAGAAATTTTGTAAGATAATAAATCTTCGTTTCCTTTTTTTTTTCGTCGTAGAAAAACTCCTCGCAGTAATGCCCGATTTGGCTGGATTATTAGATAAAATTTAATTAAAGATCTCTATCACAGCATGTCCGGTTTATGGGAGTTTCTGAAGAGGCATCGAGGCAAAATTATTGGTGGTTTGGTTGTAGCAGGTGGCGCATATGTGGTACAACAAACTTTGTCCAATTCGGGACAGTTGTTCAGTATGGACTGGAATCGTGAGCAGAACTTGGATCGAATTCAGTTGCAGGTAATTGTTTTTTATCTAAAATTATACGTAATTCGCTAAAACCGGGAATTCTACCCGTATTTATCTAAGATTATACGTAATATGCAAAATTCTTTCGCTAAAACCGAAAATCCCACCCGTATTTGCGAATATGATTTTCATAATTCTTACCCAAATCCAAAAACGAGAGCATTTTCCTTAAACGCCTAGTACTATTCTCATAAAAAGTGTTTGCTCATAATTGGCATATAATGATTATCCGTATTATGACTTAACTTTCCTGTTCTCCTCTCCTCTCTTTCTCTGTCTGCTCTCTCTCTGTCTGATTTCTCTCTCATTCACATATCTGTCCTGCAAATTAGTCACATGACTGTTCAGAACATGGCGAGTAAGAGGCTGTACTGATGATCCCCGCTCCTACCCGTACACATTGCTCGGTCTGTGTTTACAGCTAAGGGATGAAACATAGACTAACTATATCGTAAAATGTCCTTTGGCACATGACACTTAAGACTAGTCCTTCCATTCTACTATTCCTTAAAAGTTAACTTGTTTTTGCATATGACTAACGCTGCGGGGTTTTTGTGCTGGCATTTGAGGATGGTAAAGATACTGGAAAAATCTCCTAAACGGCAATTTGGGAAGAATTTGCTGAAGAAGGAGTATATGCCAGAGATGGGGGTCGGCTACGCCGATTTTCTGAGATATGTAGCACTGGCATAGAAACATTCTTCAAAATTATTGGGAAAAAGAATATAACTTTTCCAATGCGAGGAAGAGCGACTGTGGAAAAGTACGATTTTTCCCGCGAAGCGTTATTCACTCGGGAATTTTTTATGATATATATGGTTTTGGCAAAGATTTCAAGTGGTTTTATTGTTTTTTTTTCTTTTTTTTTGCATTTTGGATAAATTTTTGGATGTTTTTTGGTTTTTTTTTTGTAACTGATATATATATTACAGGCTAGACGAGAATACATCTACGATACGCAGCATCGTAGTTGCGATACGATCATCCTGGAACTGCTGCCTGACCTGGCGAAACGAATTTCGCAGCATTTTGACGTGGAAACGTTAATTGAGGCCATAAAAAACAATAAGGAACTGGACAAGGACCAGCGATTAGCTCTGTGGGAGAATGTTAAGGTATTATATTTGCGTTATTTCTACTTTGGCTAATTTCACGCAACAGTTAACATTTCCACGATTGCTGTGCCTGATCTGGGCATCCTTAATTCCATTGATGAAGGTGCATAGGTAAATCCAGGGCGGACTCTTGGAAAGGGGGGAGGGAGTGAGGCTGCGGGGGGCAACGGGGAGTAGAGGGGAGGCCTCTCTCACCCTCTGAAGCTATGCAGAAACTAGGAATAGAGTTGTAACACGCTGCTACTTAAAGTTACTTTAGTTTTATTTATGAACAGACCCGGACTTTTGCAGTACTGGTGTGAAAGACCGTTCCCCCTTTTCCTCTGGATCCGCCTATGTGAAGGTGGTAACATATGAAACGTGTTTGCTGATGAAAAGGGTGGGGGGAAAGCGGTTTTGATTCTAACGAAAAGAAAA